GCACTACATCCTTCCCTCCTCAAAGATCAATTTTTTGCAATTATTTTGATTTTATTTTCAAAACGGAAGGGGGAAGGGCGCCTGGATATTCCAAAATCAGCATTTTTGAAGCTGACAAACTTCACAATCAAGAAACATTATTTTATTTTTTAACGGCATCTTTATTTGTTGATTGTGGCGCCATCTTTGGTCAGTCTTCTTGTGCTATCATGAAATATAATGGTTGGAAAACTATCCGCAATCTTTCAAATCGCATTACTACAAGATATATATCTCTACCATCTCCAGAAATTCTGTTCAAGTTTCATGAACAACAAACCTTAACAGTAGAAATTCACTGTTAAACATCAACAAGACCATAAACTTAATTTTCTTAGTTTATAATAACAATAATGGCCATTTCTAATATGAAGTGTATCATTTACTGATTTGTATTCTAACTTTGTAAGTTTTGTTCTAACGTTTTTCAAAAAAACGTAGTTAAGATTTTGTTCCATCGTACATACAAAATATCCTATACTTCATTTGTATAAGGAATTCAATAAGATCAAGGACACAATGATGAACAGTAATTCGCCTTGTGCTTCTAGTATGCCCGAATGATGACACAATGAAATCGTATATTTAAATCTGAGTGAGGTGCATTATGTAGTTTCTGAAAGCTAGAAGGAAACACTGAGTGAAGTGTATTATATAATTTCTAAAAGTTATAATTTAACACTGAGTGAGGTGAATTATGTAGTAAAAAGAAAGAATTTAACACCGAGAAAAGTACAATATGTAGTTTCTGAAAGTTAGAGTTTAACACTGGGTGATTTGCAAAACGTAATTTCTAAAAGTCAGAATTTAACACTGAGTCAAGTGCATTATATAATTTCTGAAGGTTAGAATTTAAACCTGAGTGATGTGCAATATGTAGTTTCTGAAAGTTATAACTTAACACTGAGTGAGGTGCATTATGTAATTTCTGAAAGTTAGAAGGTAACACTGAGTGATATCCAATATGTAATTTCTTAAAGCTAGAATTTGACACTGAGTGAGGTGCAATATGTAGTTTCTGAAAGTTAAAAGGTAACACTGAGTGAGGGGCATTATATAATTTCTGAAAGTTAGAATTTAACACTGAGTCAAGTGCATTATGTAGCTTCTGAAAGTTAAAATTTAAGTCTGAGTGATGTGCAATATGTAATTTCTTAAAGTTAGAATTTAACACTGAGTGATGTGCAACATGTAGAATTTAACACTGAGTAAAGTGCTTTATGTAGTTTCTGAAAGTTAGAAGGTAACACTGAGTGTGGTGTATTATGTAGCTTCTGAAACTTAGAAGGTGATACTGAATGAAATCTATGATTTAATCTGTGAAAGTTGGAAGATAACACTGTATGAGATGTAATTTAACCTGTGAAAGATGGAAGATAACACTGTATGAGATGTGATTTAATCTGAAAGTTAGCAGATAATCAGTTTCTGAGTATTTAGAGAACAAAAAATGAATGAGTTCATAGAAGTGATAAAAGTAAGAAAACTTTAATTCTGACATATCATTCATATATTACACAATCAAATTAATAAGTAATAAATAAGTACAACATATTTAAAAGGTGAAAAAATGAGGCGTTACAAAACCATAACAATACATGCTACACATATGTACAATAACCTGTGTAAATGTACTACTAGAAGAAATGAGATGATATTAACCCACAAGACGTGATAAAGATATCAGAAATAACATTACATTTTGTGTAAGTCGGCCAAGATCTGTTGAGTAATTATTAACCTGCCTAACTTAAATGTCGTACCTTATTCATATCTAGTTACTGTACGAATAGGTGTTGTAACACTTACATACTGTGTGTATTGTCTCATTTTCTTATTTGACATCATAGTTGTGAAACAGGGGTACCCACATTAATCCAACCACCCCGACTTCTGTTGTCTTGAAGGTCTTCTAATAAGGCTTAATTTGGCTGTTAAACAATCACAAATATAGGTGTCAAACAAGACATGATTTTTAAAAACATTATGTATTATTACAACAGTAGGTCTCTTCGGGATGACCTACATAACATGAACTTCTGAACAGTAAAAGATCCCTCACCCTGAAAGACAGGAACCGGTTTGCCAAATGGAGAAGTTGTTATGTGCTAATTGCCGTTTGTCTGTCATTCTGGTTTCATAAATAATGTGATAAGTACCGTTTGTCTGTCATTCTGGTTAGATAAATAATGTAATAAGTATCGTTTGTCTGTCATTCTGGTTAGATAAATAATGTGATAAGTACCGTTTGTCTGTCATTCTGGTTTCATAATAATGTGATAAGTACCGTTTGTCTGTCATTCTGGTTAGATAAATAATTATATTGTTCAGAATAATGTTAGTATGGCTGGTGAGATGTTTCAACTTCGAACGGATATTACAGGTGTCGCTGTTGTTCATTTCTGTTTACATCGGTATTTAGAACATTGGCTTCCATCTCGAGACAAAGCTGCCAGTTTGAAGACACCCAACTTAGACTTCATCCAGTTCGGGACAAACGTATCAAAAATGCTGAAAAGAAATTTTGGATTCACTATTAATTCCTATTTGAACAAACTAGAATGGTAACTATAATATTTTACCAATTCCAGACACCAGAAATTACGATCACTTTATTAAATAAAACCTTTTCATTTCAAACGATCACCCAACACTAAATAATAACATCAACTCGTTCCTTTTGTCATTAATCTAATCAGTTCCAGATTCCCAATGTTTTTCTTTATTCATTATTATTATTAAAGATTCAGTGTTTATACTTATATTTAAACCTCTTTATAACGTTTTCTCGTAACAGTATTATCAATCATGTGCCTGTAGCACATTTTATAGTATATTTTGTTATGTTGTTACCTTTAACCCTTATTTTGCTTCTAAACTTTCGGTTGTATCAAAAACTTCTTTAAAAGCTGGTGTTTTGTTGTTGTTATGTAGTGAGAATATTATGGGTTAACTTTCTGAAGTTGTAATCAGCCATTAACTAAACTCAAACGAAACTAGGCACAAAGATAGTAAGCTTGAAGCTTATTTAATTTGTAACAATATAGCTTACTATCATATTTAAACATTGCTTCATCATGTATTCTTTCTGACGTCACTTATTAACACGTTAGTGTACTATCAAATTTAAATCGTGCTCGTTACTTGATCATAGTTGTATTCCCTCTGGCGTCATTCATTAACACTATAGTTTACTATCAAATTGAAATCGTGCTCGTTACTTGATCATAGTTGTATTCCCTTTGACGTCAGTTATTAACACTATAGTTTACTATCAAATTTAAATCGTATTTCTTACTTAACCACAGTTGCCTTCCCTCTGACGTCAGTTATTAACACTATAGTTTACTATCAAATTTAAATTGTGCTTTTTAATTAACCATAGTTGTCTTCCCTCTGGCGTCACTCATTAACGCTATACTTTACTATCAAATTTAAACGTTGCGTTTCTCTACTTACTTAATCCCAGCTGTCTTCCCTCTGGCGTCATTAATTAACACTATAGTTTACTATCAAATTTAAACGTTGCACTTTTCTACTTACTTAATCATAGTTGTCTTCCCTCTGACGTCACTCATAGTGTTTCCCAGTTCACAAATTATTCTATTCATGCAGTTTTCATCTTCCACAGCTGACCGATAGATGGAGTAATATTTCTCAAACTTCTTCCGATAGCCACTGAAGACGTCTAACATTTCACCTACTTCCCGCTTCCGGCGCGTGGAAGCGCTGGTTCCAGTTAGGCTAGTGACTGTGGGTAAGAGAAGTCCGAGACCGATCAGGCCCAGAATAGGCATTGCTAGTGAGTAAAGACCGAAGCCATTACTTGTTTGTTCAACGCCATAACCGCCGGCTCCGTTGCCATACTGATAGTTGAGACTGCTAGCGGAAGGCAAGTAGCCTCCGGCGTTACCTTGGAAACCTCCTCCATATCCCCCCGCGATTAGTTGGTTTACTCCGCTATCGAATCCATTATTTACACCATCAGTTCCAAACTGACCTGCGCTGGTACCTCCAAACTGGCCACCATTAAAACTTCCAAACTGACCAGAGTTAAGTGCTCCATATTGGTTAGCGTACGGTGAAGAGGTTAGATCCTGAGTGTCTGCAGCTCCCTGGTAAACGTCACTGCCTGAAGAACTTTGGACTGAAGTGGTATCGAAGTTGGACCTGACTGGGTTGAAACTGGACGCAGCGAAGGTCGGTTGTAGCTCAGAAGCAGAGATGCTACTGTCTTGTACCTTGGGTTTCTCCTGCACTGGGTAGTAGTAATAGTACTGACCTCTTTGGTTAGCAGATGCTGGCTGGTAACTCTTGCTAGAAGAATCCAGCCCACTTCCACTCGAAGCTTGACTAGACGCAGACGGAGAGTATACAGGCTGATGATTGCTGTCACTTGCTTTGGTATCTTCTCGTTTTGAAGAAGATCCTGAAGCAGCGAAGGTTAGGCCCAATAGCCCCAAAACAAAAACTAACTTCAACATCCTAAAGAAAAAAACAAAAACAAGTGAAACATACGATTGTGTCAATTTATCACTAGAAGTAACAAAGAACTTTATCACTACAAGTAACAAAGGACTTTATCACTACAAGTAACAAAGAACTTTATCACTACAAGTAACAAAGAACTTTATCACTAGAAGTAACAAAGGACTTCATCACTACAAGTAACAAAGGACCTTATCACTAGAAGTAACAAAGGACTTTATTACTACAAGTAACAAAGGACTTTATCACTAGAAGTAACAAAGGACTTTATCACTAGAAGTAACAAAGGACTTTATTATTACAAGTAACAAAGGACTTTATTATTACAAGTAACAAAGGACTTTATTATTACAAGTAACAAAGGACTTTATCACTACAAGTAACAAAGGACTTTTATCACTACAAGTAACAAAGAACTTTAGCACTACAAGTAACAAAGGGCTTTATCACTACAAGTAACAAAGGGCTATATCACTACAAGTAACAAAGGACTTTATCACTACAAGTAACAAAGGAATTTTATCACTACAAGTAAAAAAGAACTTTATCACTACAAGTAACAAAGAACTTTATCACTACAAGTAACAAAGGGCTTTATCACTACAAGTAACAAAGGGCTTTATCACTACAAGTAACAAAGGACTTTATCACTACAAGTGACAAAGGACTTTATTTACACAAGTAACAAAGGACTTTATCACTAGAAGTAACAAAGGACTTTATCACTACAAGTAACAAAGGACTTTATCATTACACAAGTAACAAAGGACTTTATCACTAGAAGTAACAAAGGACTTTATCACTACAAGTAACAAAGGACTTTATCACTACAAGTAACAAAGGACTTTATCATTAGTAGTAACAAAGGACTTTATCACTAGAAGTAACAAAGGACTTTATCATTAGAAGTAACAAAGGACTTTATCATTAGAAGTAACAAAGGACTTTATCATTAGTAGTAACAAAGGACTTTATCACTAGAAGTAACAAAGAGCTTTATCACTATAAGTAACAAAGGACTTTATCATTAGAAGTAACAAAGGACTTTATCACTATAAGTAACAAAGGACTTTATCACTACAAGTAACAAAGGACTTTATCATTAGTAGTAACAAAGGACTTTATCACTAGAAGTAACAAAGGACTTTATCATTAGAAGTAACAAAGGACTTTATCATTAGAAGTAACAAAGGACTTTATCATTTGTAGTAACAAAGGACTTTATCACTAGAAGTAACAAAGGACTTTATCACTAGAAGTAACAAAGGACTTTATCACTAGAAGTAACAAAGGACTTTATCATTAGAAGTAACAAAGGACTTTATCACTAGAAGTAACAAAGGACTTTATCACTATAAGTAACAAAGAACTTTATCACTAGTAGTAACAAAGGACTTTATCATTAGAAGTAACAAAGGACTTTATCACTATAAGTAACAAAGGACTTTATCATTAGAAGTAACAAAGGACTTTATCACTATAAGTAACAAAGGACTTTATCACTATAAGTAACAAAGAACTTAATCACTAGAAGTAACA